TGCTCTAACCGCTGAGCCAAACCGGCCAGGGCCAGCGATACAAATTCTGATCAAATGAAGTCCCCTAAAGTGAAAACAGTATGATCACATCTAGCCTGTAAAGATTCTTCTTGGTCGTAAGCCCAAATTCTACATTATTAAAGTATTACATTGGAAAGCCGTACTGCTATCTCTTCCTGTGTATATTTATCCATTCGTTCTTCTTTCATTCATGTGTATTCCTTCAGCGAACACCTCACGGGTACCTATCGAGTCTCAGGACTGCTCACAGTCAGAGCTCTGCTCATGGAGACTATCAGGGAGAGAAATGGGGGAGAAAGACTTCAAGCAAATGAGCCCTGTCTAAGCATCTTCATCACCGCGATGGGGATAAAAGGGAAGACAAAGATTTCATGAAAAAGCAGAGCGGGAGGGTCTTCTGCAGACAGCAATGAAGGTCATGGGCGAAGGCGCAATCTGTGAGCACCTAGAAGAACACTTCTTGTTGCTCTGTAGCATGAAGTAGCAGAAAGAACACAGAAACAGAACCGAGATCAGCCACGTCGCAAGTCAGAGTTGCTCCTGAGGCTGTGTTCTTATCGGAAACAACGGAGAAGAAGTCAACACCTACATTACCTGCATCACCAGGCTGGCTATCAGGTTTGATGACCAAATAATGATATGATACTAGAAGCATTTCTTCAACTGCAAAACGGCATCAAACTTCTGGTGCTCGTGGCCCTAAGCTACCCCTCAACGTGCATCATGAAATAATCTAAAGGATTCCAAACGGTCAGTAGGCTTCAAAATGCAATGGTGTGCATGACTCGATGCAAAACCCGGAGAGAGAGAAGGGTTTAGCTACTGCTGGAAGGAAACAGCAAACATGGATATCAGATTGTGCAAAATCAAGTGTTGAATCCGTAGCGCTTTACTTGGGAAAATCGGGAAGGTTTTTATATGTAAATAAGCAGACTGGCACCATCAATTGAAGCCAAATACTTACTTGCATGTACAACACACAGTATGATCCCTGAGCCCAGCAGAGGCTGTAGCAAGAGGTTGTTCACGACCGGACAAAGCATGTGACATCCATCTTTTAAGAGATGGAGCAAAAAAAAGCTTTATACCCTCCCTGAGGGGAAACACAAAAAGCATTCTCTTTGCACTCTCCCTACGACTCCTTCTAATATTAAATACAAACCTCCCTCCATAAAGAGCGTATTATGTAAGGTATTATTCTCATCCATCTCTGAGGTTCATTATCTGCTTTCTTATCAGTGCCCCAGTACTGATGCATGATCATAACTTATGCATGAAACAGACTGCCCGTGAAAATAATGTGCTCAATAACCACCAGCCTTACCTCCGAATCGCAGCAACCTGGAGCCAGATGCCAACACTGCGCACCTTACCCTGGAGAGCCCTCCACCTAAGCAGTTTTCCAAACCCAACTGGGTCAGAGAAACACTTTCTCCTTTCTGCTGAGTCATCCCCCAGCTTACTTAGTAATAAGAGCATTAGCACATTTCCAACATTTAAAACGCTAACAAGAATTCATATCCTGCCTCTGGAAGAAATCAGTTGGGGACAGTTTCCTAACACGTGTTTGTGTGGCTGTGTGTGTGGGTGTCTTTACCGAGGTTTCTTCGGGATCAAATCTGTGGGCATGCCACAGGCATCTGGGAAGCCTGGGACGGAAATACTGAGTAAGTGTAAGTGACTTGCCTGAGGCTAGATGTTCCCATAGACTTGGAAATAGAATCCTAAACTCCCAGAGGCATTAGGTGCTTTTCAGAACACTACCTGGACATCTGGGGTTCAGCTCCACCCCCTGAGAATTTAGCAAGGTGCTGGATACTAATGGCCAAGCAATCTCTAGTCTAGACCCAGAACTGTGGTTTGCTCAAAAAAATGCCTAAAAACTGAATTCTCCAGCCGTCTGACCTCAGCTGGCTCCAGCCAAGACCATCACCCTACTCTCCTTCCCACTCTTCTGTGTGGTGCCTGTGCACACGTGGCTTGGTAAGTACACGTTTTTGCAGCCGCTTGAGCTGTGCTCAATGCATCACACTTATTCTGTACTCAGACATAAAAAAGTGAGTTTTATAAAAAGAAAACGCAACAAACGGTAAAGGAATATGATAGAACCAGAATAATGGCGAATATATATCTCATAATGACGGAGGACACAAAATATAGGTTGCCTAAAAGGTATTTGTAACTAAAAAAGAATGCCCTGGCCAGTTTGGTTCAGCATCGACCCAAGGACTGAAGAGTCTCAGGTTCAATTCCCAACCCTGGTTGGGCTTGTTCATTTGGGAGACAACCAATCGATGTGTCTCTCACATCTCTCTCTCTCTCTCTTTCTCTCCCCCTTCTTCTATCCCATTCTATCTAAAAATCAATAAAAATATCCTTGAGTGAGAATTAAAGAACAAAAAACAAAAATAAACAAGAAGAAAAGAGGCCCTGGCTGGGAAGCTCAGTTGGTTAGAGTGTGTTGTCTCAATTCCCCAAGGTTGCTGGTTTGATCCCCAGTCAGGGCACATACAAGAACCAACCAATGACGGTGGAATAACAAGTAGATGTTTCTCTCTCTCTCTCTCTCTCTCTCTCTCTCTCTCTCTCTCTCTCTCTCTCCTCTTCCTGCCTCTACCTCCCCCTTCCTTCCTTTTCTCTTCTGCATGGTCCTTTCCTTTGTCTCTACTTTCTGTTACAACCATCTGACCTGTCTCCTTTAATAGCACAACACTCTAAAGCAAGACCATTTCTCATTGAGTTTCATAACCTAACACATTTTGTTTTTTTGTGACTAGAAAGGTGATTAAAGGAGCTCATGAATAGAATTTATTGTTTTTATGAAAGATGACTGAGTGATGACTCTGATCTTATGCTCACATATTCTCTGTTCATTCCCTATAAAATATAAGAAAAATATCATAAGAGGTCAAATATCACAGAGATGCTCATTAGCAAACATGTTAAGGAAAATCCAATTTTTCTAGCATATGATGTTAACCAGTCCAGTGGTGGAAGGTATTTCAAATGCCAGTCAGTCCCATCTGACCAATGACCTTTGATCTCCAACCATAATAATCCCCAATTTTTGTTTACAATAAGTTTGTGTTTAGAGAGCCACAAAAATTACCATAATGAGAATACAAAAAAATGCATACAGTAGTTTGCTCGTGTCATGCATAATTACTACCTTTGAGACATGCACTGGAATGAATGGCTTGTATCTTCAATTTGCCTTTCTAGTATTGGGTCCAGAGAAAACTGAGACACCTCAATTCATAATCCATGTATTAGGCAACTATCAGTGAACTTTTCCAAGGTACCAGGTATCCACACGATGCCAGAACAATTATGTAACTAAGTTTAAAAATTAAGTCAAAGAAAACGTTCAATGGTCTGGAACAACACAATATTGTATAGAGTTCTTAAAGCACCACATCAATATATTTTCTTTCATTTGATATTCAGTATAGTAATTTTGACACAATAATCCACTATTCAATTAACTTCCATAAAAAACTGTCTTCTAGTCTAGAGAATGTGAAGTCCCCAATTAAGAAAGTCACAGATTACAGAGTAGATCCTAACTATATAACTTGTTTGTTTGTTTTAGAACTTAAAATATACCTTTAGGACAGAATTATTTTTACAAAATTACAAAAAAGTAAACTACCCATAATGTTAATTTTTAATGTAATGTATGTAAAGTCATATTCCTTCTGGGTTTCTTTCTAACATCTTTATCATTATAATGCCTTTTATATAAATGTCCTAAGTGAATGAAAGGTACACATTTTTTTAAGTCACACATAATTTTAAAATATTTAGCTTTAGAGTGAAAAATTGACAAAAATAATAGTTCGGCGTGGTCAAAGACTTCTTCCTACAAAACCCACAGCAGTATATATTGTAAAACATATATTGCTAAACACTTTAAGTCATTGTTTTAGTGTATTTGTCAATGTTCCTTGAAATACTGTCCACAAAAATACCTGTTTCAAAATAATCTGAAGCATTAGTTTTAAATGCAGCTGGGTCAGAACTACCTCCGGGGCGAACCTGGGAACTTGCATTTAAAACCAGTTCGCCCACGTAACCAATGTACACCAAACCAGAAACCTATCCAGTCTATCTGAAACTATGTCTCAATATATGTTCGAATGAAAAGCTGCCCCCTGATTTCTTCCAAAAAAAATTGTTTCCAAATGCTCATTCTTACCATTTCTAAAGTGTCCACTCAACAGAAAATTAAAGCTCTTTCCAAATCGCATGACATTTCAGTTCAATGAATCCATGAAAGGGGTCACTTTTCTCCATACTTATTCCCTGTTCTGAGCTAAAGCCTTGACACCTTCGCGTCTGGGGACCCCAGGTCAGCATACTGCGCCCCAGGGGCATTAACAGCCCTAAGTGACAGGCTCGGGAGACCCGCGCTGGTTCTCCCAGCGGTCGGTCCCGTCCACACCTCCGCCAGGACTTCCGGCTTTCACCGCCCACAAGGCTGCCCTCCGAAAGGCACCGACCCGGGAAACTGAGGCACCGGGCACACACAGACCACAGGCCCTCGTCCTCTCCAGTGTCAGCATCTCTTTGCAAAAGACAACAAAGGACCTGAAAGACCTGCCACCTAGAACCCGAGCCACCCCCGCAGCTCCCCTGTCTCCGGTTCCCCAGCGCCTGTTGCTAAGGAGGCAGCCTGGGGACAGGAGCCGGCAGCACCGAGCGGCGGGGCGGCCCAGCGCCGGGCCACCCAGGACCCTTCCACCCGCAGGAAGCTGCGCCCCCGGCACGGCCGCGACGCCCACGACGCCCCCCGCGTGCGCACCGGGCGGGTGGAAGGAGCCTCGGGAGCTGGAGGCCGGCGCCCCGGGGCGCCGCTCCCTCTGCGGCCGGGAAGCTCAGGCCCCGCACAGAAGGCCTCTGGCCCAGGACTGTGGACGCCCTGGGCCCAGACAGGGGAACAGGGTCTCGGGGACAGCCCTGGGAGGGCGGGCACTCACCATGTTGACTTCGGACACCATGTCTATGCTGGCGATGTCGATGTTCATCCCCACGCAGACCGGGGGACCTGCGGGAAGCGCACGACACGGTGATCAGCCAGGCTCGGGCATGCGGTGCGGGTGGCTCTGAGGATGCGGGGCTTTTCCGAGGAGGGGGCGCAGGAGAAGTGCCCCCCAATCCCCTCGCCGCAGCTCGGCGGAAGCGGACCCCGCCTCCCTCCTCCACCCAGACCGCCGGCGCCGGGGTTCGCGCTGCCCGCAGCGGCCGCGCGCACACCCCACTTACCCCCGAAGTCGGGTCTCAGGCGAATGTCGTAGCCTTTCAACAGCTTGTCCACCGTCTCCTTCACAAAGGACATGTTGCCGGGATCGTTCACGCTGGAAGGAGGCAAGGAGCCGGAGAGCTGGGTCAGCGGCGGCTCGCCCGCCACGCTCCGCGCGCACTCCCGCACCCTGCCTGCCGCCCGGCCCGCTTCCCAGCAACCCGCCGAGCCCACCTCTGGGCGCAGCACACCACCGCCACCAGCACCGGGGCGGAGAAGAAGCCGAAAAGCCTTCCTCCCGCAAAGCCCCACATCCCTCCGCCGCGCCCCGGCACGGGGGAGGGGGCGCCCCGCCGCCGTCGCGACCCGCAGCCGGGGCTGCTCCTGCTGCTGCCGCCGCCGCCGCCGCGCAGGCCCCGAGCGGAGGAGGCGGAGGGGGAGGGGAGGGGAGGGGAGGGGAAGGGAGGGAGGAGCGCGGGCGCGGGCGCGAGGGGCGGGGGAGGAGGCCGGGCGAACCCGAGGCGGCGCCGCTGCCCCGCGCACCGGCCCTCCCCGCGCTCCGGTAGCCGCGGCGCGTGGCCCAGGCCCTCGGCGCTCCCTCCCGCCCCAGGGGCTGCGGAGCGGAACCTGGAGCCCGGCCGAAACGGCGGGAGGAGCCGCGGCTGCGCGGCGCGGGGCAGGGCGGGGAGTCGGCGGCGAAGCCAGCTCCTCTGGGCTCCCGGCGACCGGGCGAGGGAGGAGACCCGCAGCGACCGCGACGTGGGCAGCGGCGGCGAGGGAAACGCGATCTGCTTCCCCTACCCCCTCCCTGGGCCCGACCCGCTCGCGACGACCCTGTCCAGCTGCGGCGCAGACAGCCCGCGGCGCCTCTGCCCACGGGAGTGCGCGCTGCGGCGCCGGAACCGGTCCGGAGCCCTGGGGAAGCCCCTGCCTCACCTGCGGGGCTCAGCACCGCGGGTCCCCAGGGTCCAGCAGAGCCAGACAAGGAGCAGGAGAGCCGGAATCCCGGAGCACATGGCGCTGCTCCTCCGACCTAACCTGGGTGGGATCCGCTCTCCCCCACAGTCGCGGAGAATTCAGCGCCTAAGCGGGGATCCCCGCCCCTGCCCCCACCCACGGGCTTTCCCGCCCGACCCATCATCCAGCCCCTAGCATGGAGGCCCAATTAATTATTTATGCACTAGGAGACCATTTTAAAAAATAGGTTCCTTCAACTGTTCCTCTCGCCCTCACCCTGAACATTTCATGTGACCACTGCCCCCAACCCGTGCCCACCTATATGCATGTATGTGAGTGGTAACGAGGGCCTGATTATGCGCACTGTTGTCAGCAAGCTGGGGTCCGAATCAGACGTGGAGTCCCTGGGCTGCCTTTTCCGCCTCAGCCTAGAGCTGTCCGTGGTGCTTAAACAAAGCAAGGAACCTCTTTTTCTCTGGGACCGACCCCCATCCTTTGGTTCTCATTAGAAGACCGTTGACACTTGGGCCAACAGACAGACCACAGTCCACCCTAACCTGTGTACCTAAGGGTGTCTTCTCTCCCACGGCTGTGAGTTCCATTTGTCTTTAGTGAGTGATTCTCAAAAAAGTATCCCGGTGAGGGAAATGGTTACACCATCCTGCGTGTGGTCAACCAAACACCACCCACAAATCAGGTTCACTTTAGGCCGTTCCAGGCCTCAATGAATGGTTAATAATAGATAACTACTTCTCTGTATTGACTTCTTTTCTTATAAAGCTTAAGGTTTTCTTTTCTACTGTGCAGATTTTATATAGGTAAAATGTCTAAATTTAGACCGTTATTCTCCAGCTGGGATGTTGCTGCGCATTAATTTTAAATATCATTGCCTTTTTAAAAATCAACAATTTTATTTTTGGAACAGAAAATGTGACCACAGAACCTAAACGGTTGATATGAAGATAGTAAGAAAGAAATGCAGCTCTCTGATTATTTTCTGGAAAAGTCTATTTACAACTACTTTGTATTCTGTGTCCTGGACACAATGGAATTATCAGGAAAATGAGGTCGGTATTATCACACCTTCCCATCCACGTCCATGTTTCTGTTTATTTCCCCTCCTAGTACTTGCCTCCTTTAGGGAAATGCTCTGCTGGGGATCACAGCTATACAAAGTTAACAATGAGAATAAAACTTACAAAACCACATTACAAATGTTATTATTATCCACCCGGCGTTACCTGGGAGCAAGCCCACATCCGGCACCACCTGTCCATGCTGCCTGTCATCTCCCACCTCAGGCTTCTCAGTTGTCATTGAGGTCCAACATGCCACAGAACCTGCTTGGTACCCACATCCGTACAGTCTGAAACTGCAGACTTGCCATCTGTGTGTAGACCTTTGATGAATGAAGGTGGAGTCCGTGGATGATGATTCTCATTTTATTGCCTCTAAGCAGTAGTAGCTCCTGTCTCCTCATCTCTCACACTTCTACTCCCTTGTCCTCTTGTTTTCATCGGTATTACACACCCTATCAAAGCAGTAGCACTTAAATTTTGCTTGTGTGGCTTAGTGGGTTGGAGCATCATCTGAAAGGTGGCAGGTTCAATTCCTGCTCCATTCCTGGTGAGGGCACATACCCAGGTTGCAGGTTCGATCCTGGTGGGGGTACATATGGGAGGCAACTGATCGATGTTTCTCTCTCCCTCTTCCTTCCTCTCTCTCTCTAAAAATCAATAAAAACATATCCTCTGGTGAAGATTAAAAAAAAATTGTCACTGAAAATGCAGTCTTTTTAAAATAGGGAGGCAAAAATCAAAGAGAAACACTGGTCAGTGTAATCAAGATATGTGGAGCTAGCTCTTACCGGTTTGGCTCAGTGGTTAGAGTGTTGGCCTGAGGACCAAAAGGTTGCGAGTTCAATTCCCAGTCAAGGGCATGTACCTAGGTTGCAGGTTCGTGTGGGCAGCAACCAATCAATGTATCTCTCTCACATCACTATTTCTCTCTCCCTTCCTCCCTTCTACTCTATCTATACAATCAATGGGAAAATGTCCTCGGGTGAGAACTAACAAAAAGAAAAAAAAATATGGGGTTAGAAGGCTCCAAGTGGTCGATGCCCAGCTTGCACCTACATGCAGCCCCTCATCCTGCTCTGTCTCAGCACCATAGCATGTGGACAGCACCTTGGTGGGTGTCATGAGCACTGAGTCCCAAGCATCCCATCTTTCCCTTCTCTTGCTAGGTTTAGTTTCCTAAAACCAAAAATAAGTCCATAGGGTGCAGATTTCTTTTTGAGTTAGTTCCTTTGATTTATTTAACTAATACCCACAAGTAGAAGTGCTGGGTCCATGTAGCTCTATGTTTACTTTTTTGTGGCAACTCCATACTGTTTTCCATTGCGGCTGCACCAACTTTACATGCCTATCAACACTGCACGAGGGTTCCCTTTTGTCCACGTCCTTTCCAACACTTGTTACTTCTTGTCTTTTTAATAATAATATTCCTAATAGGTGTGAGGGTTTGATTTGCATTTCCCTGATGATTAGTGATGTTGACCACCTTTCCATGTACATGTACATTTGTACATCTTCTTTGGGAAAATGTATTCAGATCTTCTGGCCATTTTTTAATCAGATTTTGTTTTGCTATTGAGTCATGTGGGTTCTTTACATATTATGGATATTAACCCTTGTTGATTTGAATGTTAAACCTATTTGACTTGCAATTTTATTTATTTTTTCCCCCATTCAGTAGGTTGGGTGTCTTTTTATTTTGTTGATGGTTTCCTTTTCTGGGCAGAATCATTTTTGTTTGATGCTGCCCATGTTTTCTTTTAAGAGTTATATAGTTTCAAGTCTTATGTTCAAATTCTTAATCTATTTTGAGTTAATTTTTGTGTTTGGTGTAAGATAGTAGTCCAGTTTCCCCAGCACCATTTACTGAAGAGACTGTCTTTAACCCATTGTATATTCTTGGCTTCTTTGTTGTAAATACTTGACCACAAATGCATGAGTTTAGTTCTGGGCTCTCTATTCTGTTCCAGCAATCTATATGTCTTTTCCCACCAACACTGTGCAGCTTTGATTACGATAGCCTTGTAGTATAGTTTGCTATGGTTCCTTTAACGTTGCTCTTCTTTCTCAAGATTTCTTTGGCTCTTCACGGTCTTTTGTGGTTCCATATAAACTTTAGGGTTATTTGTTCTATTTTTGCGAAAAAATGTAATGTCATTGTAGTTTTGGTAAGTATTTTATTGAATCTGTAGATTGCTTTGGTTAGTATGAAAAATTTTATGATATTAATTCTTTTAATCCATCAGCATGGAATATCTTTCCTTTTTTTTTTTTCTTTTCTAATTCTTTTTTTTTTTTTTAATCCTCACCCAAGGACATTTTTCCATTTTTTATTCAGATAGAGTGGGAAGGAGAGAGAGAGAGAGAGAGAGAGACACAGAGAGAGACACAGAGAGAGAGAGAAACATCAACATGAAAGAGACAGATTGAGTGACTGCCTCCCGCATGACCCAGCCAAGGCCGGGGACAAACTGCAACCGAGGTACGTGCCCTTAGCGGGAACCGAACCCGGGTCTCTCTGGATCACAGGGCAACACTCTAACCAAACCAGCCAGGGCTATCTTTCCATTTCTTTATGTCTTCTTCAATTTCTTTCATTAATGTCCTATAATGTCCTATATTTTTCAGTGTAGAGGTCTTTTACCTCATTGGTTACGTTTATTCCTAGGTATATTATTACTTTTGCTGGAATTGAAAATGGAATTGTTGCCTTGGCCAGTTTATTTATTTTTATCCTCACCAGAGGACATTTTTTTTCCCTTTTATCTTCAGATAGAACAGGAGGAAGAGAGAGAGAAACATTAATGTGAGACACACATCAACTGGCTACCACCCACATGACCCCACCACTGGAGCTGAGGACAAACTGCAACTGAGGTACCAGCCCTTAGTGGAACCGAACCCAGAGACTCTCTGGTCTGCAGGCTGACACTCCAACTGCTGAGCCAAATGGGCCAGGGCACCTTGGCTGGTTTAGCTTAGCAGTTAGAGTGTCTGCCCTTGGACCAAAGAGTCGTGGGTTTGATTCCAGCCAAGGTCATGTAGCTCAGTTGCAGTTTGGTCTTCGACCCTGGTCGGGGTCGTATAGGAGGCAACCAGTCGATGTGTCTCTCTCACATTGATGCTTCTATTCTCTCTCTCTCTCTCTCTTTCTCTTTCCCTCCCTCCTTCCCTCCCTCTCTCTCTCCCTCCCTTCCTCCTTTCCACTCTATCTGAAGATAAATGGGGACAAAAAAAATCCTCAGGTGAGGATTTTAAAAAATTAATTAATTAAAAAAGAAAAGAAAATGGGATTGTTTTATGAATTTCTCTTTCTGATAGCTCATTATTAGTGTTTAGAAACACAACAGATTTT